ATGCAGGAAGGATCCAGCAGGGCAATGGTCTAGCAAGTGATTTAGGAAGGTTAATAGGTAGGTGATTGCTGAAAGCTGAGAGAGCATGCTAGCGATGATTTTGTCCTGTCTCTGCAGTCTTCTCCTGAGTATCAACTACAGAGCAGTGTCAAAGAGAGGATGTTGGGCTGGATGTTTTTGTGATATAACTATGACCATAGTAAATCCAGGAATGTGATTTTTTAAATTAGACTTGGAGCCAGCTTTCTGACTAGAAATATTCATAATATAATGATTTTTAAATTCCAGAATCAGGCACTCGTATTTTCTGAGTTTGCAGTTCTTAATAATTTCTCTTACGAATACAAGTTATCCTCAGTGGTGTTTTGTTGCTAACATTTGAGGAAAGCCTGCAGTATCGCTATCAGTAGTTCATCTCTCTGTCACGGTGTTCTGCACTGGTAAAATTGTCATCTTAGAGAAATCTTCCGAAAGTTCCAAAGAGTAGCTTAGAGGAAAAGCTAGCGGGATCAGTTCACTGGATCATGAGTCAACGTCCTGTTTTCAGAAGCCTCCAGAGAATCGTAATGCTATAGTAAGTGAATTGTACTGTGGCTCCCAAATGCTTTGGAGACTTTGTAGATGAGACTCAGATTTCTGAGGGGCTTAACTGCTTATGATATTGCTGATGTGAAAGAAAAATGTCAGAAGGAAGGAAGGAAGAGAGGAAGAGAAGATCATGGGAGGAAGTCGATAGTGGACATACTGTTCTTGACATTGACTCTGTGTAGCATTTCTAGTTTTGTATCTTCCTGATTGTGGTTTTGGTTTCAGGTACCCTTAGCAGATGCTTCTCCCTCAATGGTTTCCAAACAGGACAGTTGATCAGAATAGCTTCTTTAGGCCAAGTGCTGCAGGAAGCTCTGAGCAAGATCAGGGTGAAATACCAGTGGAGCTAGTTTGAAAAATTCATCAGATAAATTAAATGAGAGACCAAAAGCATTTGTTTATTTAATAAATAAAACATTCATCTTTATCAACTGTAATATTTCCTACCCTTTGATACTGTTCCACACTACCGCTCTCTAGAGGATCTCATCTTACCAAGATACAGAATGCAAGTTTGATTATGTGAAGGCGGTGGGCCAAAAACCTAGAGGTCTTATGCAAATTTATGTATGCATTAATTTGCGTAATGCTTCTGATATATAGATACATCTATATATGTATGTATGTATATATGCATCCATTATCTCTCCTTCTCTTTTGAAAGATACTTTTTCTTTCCCAGCCTCTCCCTGAGCTGGCTCTTCCCTTTCAAAAAGGAATACCTTTTTGTCCTTGATGATGACTGGCCAATCTGAAGTCCAGGCCCTCATCTCCCTGGAAACATAGGTTTGTCACTAAACTCTGTAAAAGCAATTCTAGCTCTTGTGGTGATTGCCATCTTAGCTATTTATTTGTGCTGGTAAGGAGTAGTTAAGGGCTGTGGAAACGGAGTTATTTCTAGATGCTTCCATCAGGGCTTGTCTTTTGTAGATGGGATCATGAGACATTTCTTTTTGATGAGTGTTACAGAGAATGACTTAAGGACATGTATTCACCTTCTCCGATTTTTTTTCCTCCTCTTTTTGAGGATGAGGGTTGGAGCAGCCATGTGAGATAACCATCTGAGCTCAGCCCAGGTGAGAACCTTTTTCCATCCTTTTGTGAGTTTGGACTGTGTAGGTTTGCTGAAACCTTGCTCCAGCTTCTGCCCTGGGATTGTCAGCAGGATTTTGAGGCTCAGCTCCCCTGTAAGCAGTAGATAATGTACTCTAGGAATCAGCATGCTGTCAGGTGTTGAGGCCAAGCTGGATCAAAGAACTTTTACCAGATAAGAAGCCTAGGAAATGGATTTGAGTTTCCATACACCAGTTTAAAGGACAGGAGACCTTCACCTGCTGCCTTGGGTCTGCTGTCCTCAGGGAGACAACCCTGGTCCTGGATAAGATGAGCAGTGGTAGCTGGTTTTGTAAAAAATGTTGCCAAAGGAGACATGTCTGTTTGCTCTAAAAAAAATTTCTGTTCTTTATAAAAAGTAGAGTAATAAAAAAAGCTAGCTGTGTATTTGCGCTTAAGAAATTTAAAAGTTTTTTAAATGGGTTTAGTTGGGGCTTAGAATAGATGTTTGAGTGAAGGGATTTTACATTGTAAGTGACTTTTTTCCTATATCTAAGGTTAGGCCCTGGGGTGCAGGTCTCCAGCAGGCATAAACTGTCACACAGAGTGGCAACAATTAAAGGTCCTGAGCATCCACCATGTTTTTCAAAACAGTCAGCAGCCCAGTTTGACATGTAGAGTCTCCAAAACTAGAGCCAGAAGAGCTTTATTGAAAACCTGGCTACTTATTTTGGTGTTTATGTGGAACTTAATCTCTCGAAAATCTGGTCTAAAATGCAGTCTCACATATGCTGCATTACTGATGTTTACACATTCAGCTGGGTAACTTGAGCTGCATTGAACGTGGGTTTGCACAAACAATGAAAGAAAGAAAAAGCCACGTTGGCAGCTGTTTCATTTAAAAAAAAATCAGATACATGAAAGATTATTCTGCCAGGTCTACCAAAGCTTGAGCTCTGGAGTCGATGCAGTTCTCTCTCCTAACTTCAGAAGACTTTTCTACCCCATTCTCTAAACTGGTTTGGTAATAGGCTGATCATAAAGTGACTTTATTTGAAATAAAGTTTACCAAGTAAATAATTCAGTAAGCATTTTCTGGGCAGCTGTGTCCAATAGATTGCTTGGTATGGTGGATAATAAGCAATACTGCCTTTTAAGACTGCAGTAATACAAAGTGCTCTGAAAAGCCTGACCCTAGGAGGATTGAGGCCTGAGAAGAAAAAATGTTAATCCTACATCACCAAGCCAAGATTTATTGGAAGGCATGTAGTATGGAGATAGAGATATAGTAGTCCCAGATCCCAACTGCTCTCTTTCTTCAACTCCTTCTCTTCATAAATGCATATTAAAATAATTTTGAGGCACATAATTGAAAACAATTAGAAGAAATTCCTCATTTTAGAACTTTTTAAAGAGTTTAAATTGTATTAATTTTTATTCCAGCATATGGATTTGGGGCTTGGTGGTAAGTTAAGCTGTCTCTTTACAGAAGTGGTAAATCACCAGCATTTGCTATCAAGAGCAGAAAAAAAGTGTTTATAAATCATTGCATTTGTTTCAGATTATTCATCAGAGCTGGAAGGCAATTGTTCAAGTTGCTTTGTGATACTATAAACAGAACGCTGGGAAGGCTGCGTACTTTGTAGCAAAATTTTGGGGTTTGTAAATGTACCAGCTGAGACTTTTTCCTTCAGTAAGTGTTCAGCTAGTCTTGCAGAGAAGAGAATAGGTCCTAGATTCAAGTGTGCTGTTTTGAAGAAACAAGTTTGATTTGGCACTAATAGGGCAGCAAGGGCTGCTGTCTCACAGAGGAGGGGTCTCGAAGTTGTCTTATTTATCTTTCCTTCTTATACTGCAGGAAGCAAGGAAAGCCTTCACTTCTTTTCCTTTGTGCTCTCAAACTGCTCTGATGGGACTATGAAATGGTTGAAATGTGGAAGAGTAAGAACTGAGGGCAGGGAGGATTTTGATACAGAAAACTTCAGGCAATAGTGCTTAACATTTCCTGGTAAATAAAAAAAAGGAGAAGGACTGTCTACACACTTGCATTGTAGTTCAAGACAGGAGGAGACTGCCTGGTTTCCCTGGGTACTGCTGTAATTACCCTAAAGCTTTTTTTCTCTGTGAGAAAGAGCTACAGTTTCTGTCACATGAAGCACAGGCATCACACCAGCACAAACAGCAACAGCAGGCTTAGCTGATCAAGCTGCCGGAACTAGCCGGCATTGGCTGAGTTTCTCCAGCATTTCAGAGCTTCCTGGCCTTGCCTGCTAGAGTACTGGCAATAGCAGCTTGGTTTTACCTTAGCGTATTGTGGCCAGTCCTGGAGCAATTAATTTCTGCAGGAGCTGTGCCAGCCCTTTTGCGGTTTTGAATGTTGTGGATCATTCAGCTTTGTTATGTTTCTTCCCCCCTCCAAAAATAAAATGAAAGCAAAACACATACCAACTCATTCACTGACATGTTGGCACACACTGTGAAATAACTAACTGGTTGCAGGGTCTCCATAAAAATGGAAAACGTGGATTTTTCAGGTGACAAACTGCTTTTAGCCAAAGAAAAAACAGAAAATGGATATGATGTACCTTTTATGAGCAAAACAGGAGAGTTGCGAGGTTGAATGTGGGTCAGATATCTCTTAGTGGCAGTGGTTTTCAATGCTGAAACATTGTGTTAAACACAACAGCATAAAAACTTTTATGCCAAAGAGATGGGAGATGATGATGGGGGTTAGGCAGGGACCCTCAAAACAGCCAGTAGCTAATGCTGCCTTTGTGGTTTTATATATTTGCCTATTAAAATGACAATACAGGCATGGAACATTTAGATTTAAGAAGCCTTCTTTCATTAAACAACATTAAACAAACTGACAAAGTAGGGGGTTATGACTCCAGTAATTGAAACATGCTGTTCTGTTCAAGACCAGAACTCTATAAAGACTCTTTTCACCCAGTAATGCCCTTTGTGTTTGCCTGCTACCCCTGCTAGAAATTACTGTAGGCCTGAAGTATGTCTTTCCAAGTGGAGTGGGAATGACACAGTGCAACACCACACTTGGCAGATGGGGTCACAGCCTTTTTAGGACGTTGACATTCATTGTGCATTGGAAATCAATTTGCAGCTCAGAGTGCATGGAGACTTAGCTGGACTCCCCTCCCCACTGTTTTTTTTATGTTAACTTTAAACCTAGGATGCAGGAAAAATAATTAGATGGATTAACTTAGGTTAACTCAGATGGAATTCGGGTAGTTTTCATTAGCTTAAATTACAGTGTGCCTTTTCATGGATTCTTTGCTTTTCTAGATGTATATTCTGAATCTGTATATTATCTTGTGTTTCTTTTTCCTTCTTTCTTGTAGATGTTGATGAGTGTCAGGATAACAATGGAGGGTGCCAGCAGATTTGTGTAAATACTATGGGCAGCTATGAATGTCAGTGCAAAGAAGGCTTTTTTCTGAGTGATAACCAGCATACCTGCATTCATCGCTCCATTGGTAAGTTTTCTGTGTGTAAATTGTGCTCTTTAGAATAACTGTGTTCAATCAGAAGTGCAGAAACTGTTTGGGTTGGGTTTTTTTTTATCCCCAGTGTTCCCGAAATCATTTCACTCGTTAGCTGAGATTGATTGATTTCTCTGCTACCCAAACTTGTAGAAGAGCCATAAATAAGACAGGGGGAAAGGCTTTAGTTTGACGTAGAAATTATACTTGGTTCGAACAGCAGGCTCTTTGGGCAGGCAGAGGCAGATTTTCAAATGGCAACTTTCTGCTTCTGTGTTTCCAAGGCTTAAAAATTTGTCATCCATTTTCCTGTCACATGTCTTCCACCTTAGAGAGCATGGTGTCTGAAATCAAAATGAACAGCTTGTTGATTCTGGAAGTTATACAGGTTGTGTTTTTTTGCAGACTGATGATGGCTGAAATTATATATTGTCACTCCATTTTTCTTTGGTTCAGTGCTCTGTCGAGGGTGGATTAGAAAACTGCTTCTCTGTTGCCTATGCACTAGCAGTAGACATCCCTACTGCAATCCCTGCGAAACTGTGATCCTTGTCCACTGCTGATTTTGACTAGCTCTCTCTTTTCTATACATGTCAGACATGGAAGACAAGTTTGAGTGGAAAGGGAGAAAAGAAAACAGCATAGCTATAAATCTTTGCAATTAAGTGGGCTCTTTATGTGTTCATTCAGACTTCTGGTGACCCTGGCAGCAATGGCAATATATGCTAGCAAACTCATTTACCAATAGGCAATACAGAATGACAAAGTAGCAAGACGAGTCTGGTGATCAACAATGTAAGCATGCTGTAAATTTCAGCAAGCCACACAAATGGTTCTGAACTATTTTAAGTCACTAATATTAACCAGAAAATCCTGCTTGGACATAGAATATGAATTTAGTCACTCTGTTGACAAGAAAGCAAAACGTTGTAGTGTAGCATCTCAGAAATGTAAATGTATTTCTGACACTGTGTGTCTGCTTACATAGAATTGGAAAGACAAGTAGTCATTTTGATTTTCGGAAATGTGATTCTCCAGAATATATTCACAGATCCACTTTTTATGTTAAGTTTTAAGCAATTGAGGTATTTTGATTATGAGAAGAACATACAATTAAGCTCTATCAACCAGTGCATTTTAAAGGTTGTTATCTAATGGGGTTTTTAGTCATTCTTTTCAACATAAATTGTTCAAGTTTCTGTCCAGTGTGAAGTAACCCTGACACAAAGATACCCAACAGAGCAAGGAATAGTAGCAGGAGGCTTAATGAAAACCACTTGCAGAGTACTGTGATACAATCATTATTTCAGTTTGCACATTATAAAAATTCCCAGCTGTAATAAAAGAGAATTTAGTTATCTGAGATGGAAATTAATGAAAAAAAATGAAAAATGAAACTCTAAAGGCAAAAGTTGCTTCTGAGGAACGGACTTATTGAGGGAGAAGGGTAAATTTTTATAACCAAGAGGATTCCTAGTTTGCTGGAAGGATTGGGGGAGTGGATTTGAAAGTTAGCTGCTGGATGCATATAATAAATATGCATGGGAATAATATATTTGCGTTAACTTGTTTACAAATAAAATATAAGACATGGACGTTTATTTTAGATATGGAAAAAAAAAGCAACTTAGCAATAGTGATTGCAAAGTGTTCTATGAAAAAGCGGTTTGTAGCTTTTTAAAAATAAAGTGCCAATTTACAATAGCAGCAATCATTACACTGTAGTGCCATGATCCCCTGATGAAATACATCGGGTGGGTATGCTGGAGGAAGGAAATGAGATGAAATTATTTCTTTCAGTTGTCAGAGGTGACTGAACTGCAAATAGCAAACACGCATGGTGAGAAAGTAAATGGCTTTTTCAATATCTGTGTTTACTCACTTCCATGTGTCTCACTTGTGAGCGCCACCACAAAAAAAAATACGCACCAACATATGTAGCCAGAATTGTGCCTGGGGCTAGATTGTGTCTATACCTCTGTTGGTAAACAAGGCAGAAGTGGACAAAGGCACACCACACAGCCAGCATTGCAATCCAAACACAAAGGCGCTGACTTGCCAAAGCTCTTTAGCAAGCTTGTTGACTTTGAGCATAATAAGATCCATTGATTGTGGTGGGATTACTTTTCTGGCTCTGAAAAATGCATGTGCAATCACACATCTCGGTGCCCTTGACATCACCGAAAGTCTCTTCAAGGACTCAGCTCACCTAAAACAATTAGCCACAAGGTTCTTCATGCGGTTTGCTACCACCTTTTCCCTCCTCTTTTCAAATGCCTTGGGAAAAAGGGAGAAGCATTGCAAGGTGCTTAGGATTTACTTGGATTTGGGATGAGTTTGGAATGGAGGGAGCAGTACCAAGCCTAAGCAATGCTCTGTCTGCAGGCCCAGCTCACCTGCCTCAGCCATCAGCAAGACTGGTGCTGAGCACATGCTTTGAGCTCATCAGCACGTTCAAGTGATGTGGTAGTTTCAAAGTTGAAAAAGGGCATATGATATTCTCTCAGTGGCTGAGCAGAAGAAGGAATATGTCCCTTTTTGCACTAACCAGCCAAGGGAAAGGTGTCTTCTGTTATGACACACCTTCCTTAAAACTGTCAGCTGCTATGTGAATTTTCTCAGGTTCCAGAGATGTGCTGTGACTGTCCCAGTGTTTGGGGGTGCATTGTGCCACTGTGCTCCCACCCACAAGCTGTGGTTAAAAGCCACACTGGAGTTCATGGTAGGGGCTTTTAATACCATCCTTGTGTCCCAAATGGCACGTTTGCTTGCCATCTAGAAGTGTTCTTATTATTTCCTGTGGACCAAAAGGATTAATCATCCACAGAGAAACATAAATTTTATACCCACGGGAGGCCAGGCCAACATTAAAGTCAGGGCAAACCCTCATTTGCTTTATTTCACTGACTTCATTCTAGGCCTACTGATTTTTCCTGCTCAGTCTCAGTATCTTTTGGGAGGATACTATGCCCAGTACAATTTACCTTATTTATTTTTGCATGAAAGAGAGAATTGGAGGGAGAAGGATTGTAAAAGATACAGAGAACTTAACAGTTGTTTGTCTTAGTGTATCATAATTGCAGTAGTAGGTGTGAACACTGTGATTTATAACACGGACACATGTGTGTTTGTTTCCTCGTGACTTAAAAAGAAACCAGAATAAAACAGCTGTTACTGTATCATCTCCAGCTCCAGAGGGAGCATGTGTTTAATAAATGTGGAGTTTAGTATCGTACCCTACAGCTGTGACTGAGTCAGGTGAGTGGGTTACGTGATGTTTTCTCTTAATTTGATGATAAGCCAAAATCAGCAATTCAGCAAAGCCTCTGGGCACATCCTTAAAGTCCTGGTGGTGTCAAAGTTGGTTAAAAATCTGAACTGGGCCTAAAAAGCATCAAAATAGACAGAGTTTAGCTATATGCCTGTATCTCCACTGAAGTTCAGAATGATCAGAATGAAGGGTAAGGTATGTCCCATTTGCATTACAACTATAAAAGGTATTGTGGTCAGGAGCCCTGCTACAAACTGCCGCGGCAACTGAAATTCTCAGCTGAAGCATTATAGAAAGCCATTGCTGTCCCACCTCCATAGGGCAAGTCTCCTAAAGCACAAAGGGTGTTTGCTTACAAGCCAGATACTTCAGGAGTTCTGTAGCTAAGAAGACTTCTGTCATTTTAGATTCCATGCTCTGAATGTCTGCTTGAAGCACAGTTATACTAATGGTCTTTCACTGCCAGTGTTTTGATGTAACTAGTTCCAAGTAAACTAAAAAGGCAGGTACAGTTAGAAGTGGTAGCTGCAAGTGGAGACAAGATGAGGTGGAGAAGTACCAGGCTAAGAAATCTGGAAATTATGATGGTCTGGTGAAATGGTGGAAAAGCTTTTTATACAGTTGTCACCATCGTTTTCAAGCCTGTTAAAATACCATTTGGCAAGGAAATGCTTTTTCACTTCCCCTTATCCCATTAGCCTTATATTCTTAGCAGAGTTAGGGAATTTGACATGAAGTCGAGCTACCACAATTTAGTAAATTACTGTGCTACAAATAGAGTCTCAAACCCAGCTTGTCTCATTCTGCACTGAAACTGTAACAGTTGAGTCCCAAAGGAAAGAGAAACATGCTAAGCCACCTTGTCTTGCATTTGTCATGGGTTAAATGGACTTATGAAGTGGCTTACCATGCTTGTGCTGATACATAATAACTTGTTCAACTTGATTATATGTTTAAACCCTTGTTAATTTTGCAGTAGTAGTCCTTTGGTCAGCTGACATCAAACTACCTTGTACTACTTCTTGTACTGAGGGTTAGAAAACCACCTTTGTTCAATTTTTTAATTCCTACTTTCCATGATTTATTTTTATGCTTTACCTGTTTTCTTAGTTCAGTGCAATTTTACAGCAGTACAACAATGTGTTAGGACTCCCTGGGAGGAAGCATGATCCCCAGTAAGTACAGGAAAGGTAACAGGTTGAGATTCTGGACTTTATTCCCATCTCTGGTGTGGATGCCTTGTGGGACTCTGGGCAAGAAGGTTATTGTGACTCAGAATTTCTGCAAAGCACTTTAGAGGACAGAAGTGCTTTTTCTGCAGAAAGCACAATAATCTATTCATATTTAGATTAATGTGGAAAGGTGACTTTAAATAATTAAGTGTTGCTAGCACCATTCCAGACTTTATGAAGTACAAGGTTTTTCATCTCAACTATGAAAGCTCTTTCATGATGATGTAACCGGTTAAATTACTCCATTACTTGAATATACTTTGCCATAGCTACCCCGAGTACAGGCATCCCATTCACTAGAGCAAAAAAGACCTGATATGATTGTAAAGTTGAGGAATATGTGTAAAGTAGAGGAATATTGGTACTCAACACAGTATGACCTAAGTATAATAGAAACTTGTCTCTTTATAGATTCCCATGATACATTTTGAATAAATAGTTCAATTGATTATCATTCACAGAATACGGGATACAGAATGTAGCCAGGAAAA